GGCCTGGGAGGAGGAGACTGGACCTGCCTGGACTGAATCTACCAAGTTGATCTCAGTCCTCGGGGGAGGCTTTGCCCTGGAGGAGGTGGGAATGGGGGGTGTGCTGGGGGGTAGAGGAAGAGGGGTGGGAGGGGGAGAACAAGGGAATTTGTGGATGATATGTAGAACTGAATTGTATTGTAAAAAGAAAAAAAAAAAAAGATCCAGGGTCAGATGGCACCAACAAAGGTACCACATCCAGCCTACCAAGTCATATGATGTCCACATGCTATTCAAAAATGGTAAGTGGCAAAAGTCATTTCAAGGCCGTGTCGATTCTAGAGTATGAGTGACAGTCATCGGCACCCTGCTCGTTGAGTGTTGGGAATTGTTTCTCTTCTCCTGTAATCTTTGTGATTGTAGATGTCTCCACAGAGGAGCCTGGCAGAGGTGTATAGCCAAGGATGACCCTGAACTTGTGATTCTCTTGCCCCTAAATTCATGTGTTGAAGTCCTAAGCACCAATGACTGCATGATCTGGTGACAGGCTTTGCAGAGGTAATTGGAGTTAAAAGTGCAGAGGGTGGGGTTATAAGCTGATAGTACTTCAAATCTTCCCAGAGGAGGGGAGACACTTCCCAGTCCTGTATGCACAACAGGACACATGAGTACATAGAAAGGGCGTGGGCACACACAAGCTGAGAAGAGGCTTCAAAATGGAAGCTATCCACGGCATTTATCTCAGACTTGCTGATTTTTATACCATCTAGCCTGTAGGATTTTATACAGCACCTTGAGTTAAGACCTACTCCTGGGAAGTGGCATCCCTTGATTTTTAGTAGAAAAAGGACATGCACGGTGGTGTGTGAGATTTGCCATGCTTTGTGTAAAAGATGAATGCACACTTATCAGATTGCATTCATAAGTCAACAGTCTCTTGAAGGATCAATATTTACCTATCTATCACCTGCCATCATTCTACCTATCTGCCCTATCTATCTGTCACCTGTCTACCTATCCAGCCATCATCTATATGAGTCATGTGTCCATCTTCCATTCATCTATGCATCCATCATTTTTCACTGATCCATTACTCATCCATTATCTATCATCAATCTATCACATGTCTGTTATCTATCATCTATCTGTTTCTTAATTAATTTTCAATTTTCCTGACAAAACTGTGACCAAGAAAACTTAAAGAAAAGTTAAATCTGGGACTCATGGTTCCAGAGGGTTCAAGTCCATGACCATCGTGGCAAGGATCATGGCAGCAGGCAAGCAGGCATGGTCCTGGAAGAGGTAACAGCTCACACTTCAATCCATAATCATGAGGCAGAAAGAGCTAACTGGACCTGGTGTGGGCTTTTGAAACCTCAAAGCCAACCTCAGACAACACACCTCCTCCAAGTGTACACCTTCTAATCCTTCCCAAACAGTTCCACTGAGGACCAAATATTCAAATATATGAGCCTATGGAGGCCATTCTCATTCAAACCACCATCTGTCTGTCTGTCTGTCTGTCTGTCTGTCTGTCTGTCCTTTATCAATATATTACCTATCTAGCCATTACTCGACTGTCTACTTATCTGCCTATCTACCTTCATATCATGGGGTGATTCTAGAAAAGGGATTTTTCTCCCTTGCATCTTAAGGATGTTTTGAGTTTGTACATATATCCATATATTATCTAAACAGCTTAGGAAATAATAGTAAGAAATGATAGATCAGAGTGCATCAAATTAAGAAAGCTTGAAAAGTGAAGAGACAGCCTATAGAATGAGAGGGCCTCTTTACCTACTATTCTTCAGATAGGGATGGATACCCAGAATATGCACAGAACTCCAACAAGTTGAACTAAAAATGAACAAGTGATGTAATCAGTAGCAGTCAAACAATGGCCAAATGAACTAAACAGACAGTTCTCAGTACAAATGACCGATGCATACATGGAACATGTGTGTTAACATATGTAGGTATCAGGGAAACACAAATCAAAGTTGCGCTGAGATTTTGTCTAACCCCAGTCAGAAAGATTATCATCAAGAAAAAAAAAATGAAATGAAAAGGAAAACAAGAACCAAAACCAAAACAGTAAATGATAGGAACCCAGGGAAATGGTATTCAATACACTGCTGAGGAATATAAATTAGTCCAATCTCTACGGAAATCAGTATGCTCATCCTTTAGGAAATTAAAAAGGGACCCTCTTTGTGACCTAGCTGGTAGCATGTAGGCATCTGTACTGGCCTGCCCTTGGGGCCCTGACAGGATATATCCTCAGCTATAGCCACTAAGAGCGCCCCCTGTGCGCACTGGCTGAGCTACAAGTTTCCTTATAAAAGGCGCCTCCCCTCCGCCTGCCTGTCTCTTTTTCTCTTCTCTTCTTCTTCCTCTTCTCCCCTCATCTCCCTTCTCTCCCTTTCCCCCAATAAAACTCTCCATGTGAGTGCAGTCTGCAGGGTGTATCTCCCGGACTCCCACCCACTGCTGCGCATGCGCGCCATTTTCAAAATACACCACTAGCTATATTACTCCTGGGTCTATACCCAAGGTAATCTAAGTCAGCACGCCACAGAGATACCTGCACATCCATGTTTGTAGAAACTCTGTTTGCAGTACCCAGCAGCCTGGGGGCCTGCCAAAGGATAAATAAATGGGTTAAAAGAAAGTGTCACACAATGAGGTTTTGCTCATCCATCAGGAGAATGTAATTCTGTCATTTGCAGGAAAATACACGGAACTGGAGATCAGTGGAGGGCAGCTGGAAAGACGGATGTGGTGAAAGCATGTGTATGTGCATGGAAATGTCATCGTGAAGCCCATCATTCTGTATAATTCATATGCACTGAAGAAAGTATTAAAACCATTTTATTTGTGTGTGTTGCAGGGGTGGAATGGGAAGATGTGTGCCAGAGCACACATGTGTGGTCAGAAGACAAGCTGTGGGGGTCAGTTCTCTCCTTCCAACATCTTGGTCCTAGAGTTTGAACTCAGGTCATCAGGCTTGGCAGCAAGTGCCTTTACCTGCTGGTACATCTGATAAGAATATTTTCAATGAGTGTTGACATTCTGGTGAGGCCTGGACTTGGGTGCAATGAGGTTTGCTCATGGAAGGCAGACACCAGTGGCTTCGGATCAGCCCAGCTCCAAGTCTGATTTTCACATGGGGTTTCCACTTAGGACCTTCAAGTTGCCCAGCCCAGAATTTATTCCACTCACTTTCCACTTTTCCCTGTAAAAGCACAAACTGAGCTTTGACAGTTTGGGAGCCGCTGTTTCAGGTGACAGGTGGGGAATTGCTGGGCTGATGGCCCAGTGTCCTGAAGAGGGTGGTGGGCACTGGATGAAGCAGATGCTGGAGGTGTTCCTGGAACCTTACCACCTCTCCAGTTGGCATCCCTTCATGACATATTTCATGTCCTCTCACATCCCCCTGCTTCCTATAAGTTACCATGAGCCACCATGGACTTTGCCATAGGAAGTGAGGAAGCTTCTCTCACAGCTCCATGGATATGCCATCCTTTTCTGTTTGTGTAAACAACTTCTTGACCTTCACAATTTACTGAGTAGGTCATTCCATATCCTCTTTGTGACCCTGAACTAACTCCCAATGCTTTGCACTGCCCCTGAGGTAAGCTTAGCCTTGCTTCACACCGGAAAGCTCCAGAAGCTCAGCCCAGATGTCCTTCTTCTTCCCAGTGACCTCTGTGCTAGCCCACACTGTCAGCGTGTCTCTGTCTTCTCTTAGGAGAGTCACATTTTATGCCTTCTTTCCAAGATCACTTAAACCTTTCTACATCTTTTCAACAACTTCAGCCAATTCTAATCTCTTCTTTTTCAGAATTCCTATTTATGACAATTGCTCTTCAGATTCTTCTGATTTGAAAGACTTGATCCCCTGCTAAGTGATGAGCTCCTCAAGTCCCTCTTTCTAATGTATTCCACATGGCCTCTGTGATGAG